CTACCCTCCTTCCTTTCCTTCCTCTCCACTGACCCCTCCCCTCTTCCTTCCTCCCCATCCCTCCTCCAAGTCAGAATTCCTTCAACTTCACTAAACACTTTTTCAATGATTTCTCACACTTTTTCATTCCTATACCTCCCTTCCCGCTCCTCCCCACAGTCCTTCACTTCCTTCTCCACTACCTCGGATAACCCACCATCTAGCTTGGCTGCATATTCATGGGCTACAGTACATGGCGCCAGGATGGAATCTGGAGCCAAAGACACAAGAGACACATTAGTAGCACAAACCGAATTCACTTTGTTACCTGGGATTGATGGAAAGGTTGGAAAAGGACTGTTCCCGACCTCCCTCTCTTGTTCCAGAGGTTGGTAAACGTCTATCTCCTTGAGTTGGTTGGAAAGTACTTCTGTCCTTTGGTCACTCTGGTGATCTCTCCTCTCTACCCCTGAATCACCCCTAAGAGGTGTGTTCTTGCTCTGCTTCAGGTTCTCCCGATTTGCCCCTTCTGTTGTACCTTGCACACTCTGGAGTGTTGGAGATGAATTAGTCTGGTTACAACCTTCACCCTAAAATAAGCTTGCAATATTCCACCCATCCATGTCACCTCCGGCATAGCCACCTTCGTCGTTTACACTGCCCACGCTGGTACCATCGTCTGAGCTTTCGTCCAAATCTTCATCTTCCTCACTGCGTTGCACCCAGCCTTCATCCACCTCTTCCCTCTCTTCTGCTCTTTCCCTTGCATATCTTGGATTTGGCCTATCTAAGGAGCATTGCAGGGAGCTAACCTCCTCACAGTTCCTGCGGGGGACCCACTGAAAGTTCCCCTTCTCCAGCTTCCGCTGCTGCGAGCGTTCCCCATCCATTCTCGCCATTTGGGACGACGATAGACCAAGTTCACTGTCTAGTAATGGTCTATGTTGTCTCTCCTTACCCCAACCCACGTGACAACTTAAGTTATCACGTGGGTCATTCGAAAAAGACCTGTGTTCGGTATTAGGCCTGCCCGCCCCGCCCATGTGACCACTTAAGTTGTCACGTGGGCCCTTAAATGAGTGGCCCGATTCACTTTCCAACCCGCCCAACCCACCCACGTGACTTTTTAAGTTGTCACGTGGCTCTTCCAAATTTGTCCCGGTTTAATCTTCAGGCCGCCCAACCTGACCCACCCACTACCTTCACCGGCTTGGACCAAGCCATTCTACTCCCAGAAGCAATCTGCTTCTTTGTCACGTCAGCATAAGATGAAGAGCCCACCTTAATTTTGTTTAATTCAAACCCATTTGAATTAATTTCCTTAAATAGGTTGCCTATCGTTTGGTTTTCCCCAGCCGACACAGTAACCCCAGATTTAACCTTCATCTGCTCCACCTTTTCACCACCCTCCCTCTTCCCTCCACGTGTCCACCACCCTGCCATCTCATCATCTTCAACCTTAGGACCTCCCTCTTCCCTCCACGTACCGGGCTTCATCCAAACAGATATCAAAGAACCTCAGCAAGTTCTCGTGTCTGACACCAGCAACCTGTAACTCCACTGCACTCAGGTTACGTCTATCAGCCTTCACTAAAATACCTCCCAGGCTCTGCACTATACTCAAGAACAGGGTCCCGCCATAGGTAAAATGGAAGGCCTATTAGCTTCAGCCAAACACACCCATCTTGAACTTCGACTTCATTGCAGATTGGGCTTCAGTTCTGAACCTGTATCAGATCTCCATCCACCACAACTGCTTTGAAGCTTAGTTCCTTGTTGCCTACATCAAGCACGGCTTTCGTCTCCGCAAAAGGGAACAGCATCGCTTCATTCYCAGCACCTATCTCTCCTGCAACTGTACTCAGAACCTTCTTCCAATCTGTCACCCCTTTATCAGCCACTAACACCATTCTTTTCTTCCAATCCTCCTTACCCACTCCTACCAATATTCTTCGATGAATAGAAGAGCAAGCAACCACCATTTCAGGACTCAAATGGCCTTGCACTTCTACATACCCAGAGGTACCAATCAATGCTGCCTCCTCCTGAGTTTTTTGACTCTGGTCTTCAAGATTTTGGCCAGTTGCCTTCCCTCCATCCACTCCCTTCTCTTCCGAAGCTACAAGGTAAGACTGCAGCACCTGCACAAAAGCCATCCACCCTTTCTGCAATCTCCCTTCTGGCACACAAAGCATTTGTTTYCCATTTGTTCCAAAAAACTCCACCACAGWGACGAACCACCCCTTCTTGTTTCTATTCAGTTCTGTTACATATCTCTTGCCTGGAACTGACATGGAGTTTTTCCAGCCATTCACCTTACCAGAGTTGATAGCCCCATAGAAACCTTTCATCCATGCTATAACCTCCTTTGACACCAACACTGTCGCCCTGTTATTCTCTCTGATTTTCAGTACAACCTTGCATTTGGTCCTTTCCTCTTCGAACTTGAACGTCTTGGCTTCGATCGACACCTCAGACCTCCATCTTCCTACTGCTCTGAATCCTTTCTCGCCTTCCATCTTTACTCCGTAGTAACATTTGAAAAGGGGAGAGAGACAAATTCGAATCTCTCAAAGGAAATCTTCTCCTAAAATCCCTTGGTCCTGAACTCTTTGGAAGCCAATGCACCAAAATTCTGCCCCATCCTCCACCACTATTAGCTCCTATCAGGCAATGAGCAAGCACCTTTGGTGCAACTCCTCGTTAGGACAGTTGTGAAATGACACAGTTCGTGCTGCCGAAACCCAAAAATCCCATCAACGGCTGTCTGGCTTGGTCAAGTCTCCGGAGTCTGGACTGATGGTTGCTACATCCGGCGGATTGTAGGTACTCTTGACGGGAAAATCAACGATCCGACCATGCAAGATTCAGCGGTGCCTTACCCTGTCACGAGCTCTAAACTCACTCAGCTCAACTCTCTGGTCCATAGAAAGGCTCTTTCGAGCTTCGGAAATCAACAAAATACCACCGCCGGCAGGAAGACGGCGCCCAAAACCAAGATCAGAAACCCGGCATTTCGTTTTGATTTTCTGTTTACCCACACCCGACAACAACAACAACAACAAAAGACAGATCTTATACTATAAATGCATACAATTCAGAGACGAAGATCGAATTGTGTGTATTTCTGTATCACTGAAAGCTCAGAAGAACAGTGTGCGTGAGAGAGAAATCAAGAAGAGAGAATAAAAAGAGTTCCACGAGAGGAGACCTTGGTGACAATGGCCACCAACAGACAGGATTCAAAATGGGTTTTCAAACTTAATACCTAAGAACACTGTTGGATTGGTTATGATGCTAGAATAGACCAATGTTTTCAACCTGCCATTGACCCAGCTGGTCAATCTGATGGCTGCAATTCCGATTTAGGTCAACATATAACCTTCCATTAAAAAAAAAACTATTGACTTGCGCAATGACCTAACAGCCCAGATGGTTAAGCAGCTGATCCATTTACAAACCCAGAGGGAAAAGTGATTAAGCCTCCAGGCTGGGCTTTAAAACATTGAAAAGACCGATGGAATGAGGTTTTTTGTGTTTATTTTTATTCCATTGGTTCATTTTGGTGCTTTCACAGGATTTTGTTATTTTGACCTATTGTGCTGATTGGAACTTCCTTTATCAGGTGTGAGCCATTTGATACATATCCAAGAACTTATGACCTGTTGCATGCATCGGGTCTTTTCTCCATTGAGCAGAAAAGGTATTGATTGGCATCTCCCTTATTGAATGTTGTTTGCCTGCATGCTTCACTCTTAACATGGAAAAACCCTCTCTTCATTGCTTCTTTCACATTCCATCATTATTGTATTTATTTTTCAGATGCTTCATTCTTTTTTTGGAAAGGTAAAATTTTAGACTTCTAACATTTTATATTTATTTTAAACTTGTTACAGATGCAATATCTCGACTATCATGCTCGAGATGGATCGGATACTAAGACCAGGTGGACGTGTTTATATTCGTGACTTGAGGTCTGTTATAGATGAACTTCAAGAGATTTCAACAGCCATGGGTTGGCATGCAGTAATATATGACACAGCAGAGGGGCCCCATGCAAGCTGGAGGATCTTGATGTGTGAGAAGTATCTGTTGCGTCCTTGAAATGTTTGATTGTAGAAAAGCAAGAAGCTAGCTTTTGCTTCTTGGTTTCCCTATTTGCAGATTTTATTGATCAACCCTGTGAAGTACAATCTTGCCAAGCTAAGGTGGACGGTGGTGCTGCAACAACCGATTGGGGTGCTACATACATTTGTTGTTCTGTTGAGTTGTTCGAAGCAAATATTGTGAAGATTTTCCAATGCAACTTATGTTGTATATTTGTGTTGACTGCTACAGAATGACATTGAGTTCCTCCACCTGACACTGAGAGGAACAAAGAAAATAAGAAATATATAGTTTTGAATCCGAAGTATTACTGATTTCTTACAACTTGAACTTTGGCCTAAAATTTTGAGTTTAGGTATTTCGAAGTATGGTTTCTGGTAATTGAGTCGGGAATCCGGATTAAGTGCACTTGATGGTAGTGTCAGGAGCTGTTCACTAACTTGAAAAGATTAACTTGAGTTACCAAAAAAGAGAAGAAAAGACTGACTTGAATGGATTGTTACAGGAATTCCAAGCTACTCATGCTTTTGGATGGGGAAGACTTACATGGGGTAGGTCTTAATTGGACGAGAAGCTTGTTTTAGTTTTTCCGAGTCTTTTGGTTCACAGTTGGAATGGTCTATTCTATAGTCTATTTGGTTCAGACAGGAATGGGAATAAAAATTGGAATCATTAGGAATGGGATTTCATTTTTTAAGGGAGGGGCAGGGAATGACTATTCTCTCAAAAGGAGAAATGATATTTTAACAAAAATGGGAATGAGATTATAATTTTGTGCAACCAAACAGTTGGAATCGAAATAGTCCATTCCAATTCCAATTCCAGACCCCTATTTCCACGAATCAAACGGGTAGTTCTATATCCCAAGGACAACAAGGGATATTAGTGCCTGGGTGTAATGTAAATCAGAACGTTGGAATGACCGTATCACACGCTAAGAGGTCTATTGGGAATGAGTCATTGCGATTACAGTGGCCTCTCCATGTTTATCCAACTGCACCATTCGGTCTGCTGTTAATCCGAAGTCCTCGTATACTTCCTTTCTCTGTGATTACATGCAAAGTTCACTCGTCTATAAAGTATAAACAGTACAGTTCCTCATACATGGATCTCATGGCGGGAATTGGGTCGAGCCAAAGAACCAAGACTCGACCTGCCAATCTGTCATTTTCCTTTAGCCGGATGAAGAAAAGAAAATGATGCATTAAAAGAGGGGGTAGCCAAGTGCAATGTCAGACACGAAAATGATGCATTCCAATCCGGAGCAGAGGATGCCAGTGCTTATCCCCAATCCAGAGATTTCATCAAAGTAGAGGATGTTGATGATTCTCCCCAGGTGTAGTCGGTGCTTCTCCCCAATCCGGAGATTCCATTGGAGCATAGGATGTCGCTGCTCCTCTCCCAAGAAGTCACTGTTGTGACTATGTTATTTACGGAGAGAAATGAGGAAACTTGAACTCGAAGGACATTGATGTAGAGGTTATTTTTTTCCCTTCCTACGTCGGTGCTGTGCTGGAGATTACCAACAACAAGTAGAATCCAATGTTTTTAAAACAGATTCAGAGGTTGAATCGTTTTTGCCTTTGGGTGGCAGGTCACCAGTTCATTGATTGGGTTGAACAGTTTAGACTATGTTACGTCAATGTATATATGCATTATATATATGTGTATAAATAAATATATATATATATTTTAGCAATAAATAATGTATGAATATGTTTTAGATAAGTTATATGTATTATTTTTATATTTAATATATGTGTTTATTTTTTTATTTATAAAAATATCAAAAATTGCAATTTGAGGTCAAAAAGTTTTTTTTTCACGAAAATAGCGGGGCAAAGCACCTGCGGCTCCTTGGGATGCATAGATCTCGAAAAGTTTCCCAAAATAAAAAAAAAACTCCAATCGGACATTGGAGTGCAAAGTTATGGCCTTCGAAAGTCTTGTATACATTGAGTGTGCAACTCGTGACCTGTCACTGGGTCAAACGGGTCAATTGTCGAATCAGTCGGGTTGAAAAGGTTCTTGACGAAGTCAACAATTTTTTACCGTTTGGCAGGTCTTGACTAAATTGGACTTGAAATCTTGGTCGGGTTACAGTTCGATCGATTGGATCAACAATGGGTTGAAATCATTGATAGAACCAATCTATGCCCAAGAATAGAATTAGCATCATTTGCCCAAATGGTAAAGTGATATCATATATGAACCGTTCATAATAGAATGTTAATGTTAGGGGAAGTTTTAGGCAGTTATTAGAAGCAATAGGGATAGTATTAATCAATTTTAAAACAGTAAAGATTAATAATTACGTGATATCTCTAGCTTTATCGCCAATTGTGCAGTGTCAGATCATACCGTTGGAATGGTGTTGGATCGTATATTATTGGCACGAAACATAATGACAAATATTCCTTATTGCTTCGATAACATTGTGATTTGTGAATTGTGAATGATAGTGGTAGAGAGAGAGAGAGAGTCATGGCTGGATTGTTCGACAGACAGGCAGATGTTTATGTAGATGCAAGGCCGACTTATCCGAGCGAATGGTATTCGATGCTTGCGGCTGTCACCCCTCGTCGGACTTTAGCATGGGATGTTGGCACAGGCAACGGCCAAGCTGCTCTCGGGGTAAGTAAAAGCCCTCTCCTCCCTTTGATGGATCATTCCTCCTCCTTGCATCTATAATATAAAAGTTCAATTCTGTAATCAATTTATGCACCAAATCTGGAGATATTTCAAGTTTAAAACCACCACTCAGATCTGATTGTTTAGGAAAAAGTAAAAAGTTACAGATCATGATGATGCTCAAATAACTGCAATGAAATGGCAGTGCAGAGTTCAAGGAACAAACTCAAAAAGAGGTTTATTAATTTTATTTTATTTTCTTTTTTTATAGTGGGGTTTTTTTACAATACATACTCTGTTCTGCAATCAGGTCGCCGAGCACTATGAACAAGTGATCGGAACAGACGTGAGCGAAGCGCAGTTAAAGCGAGCCATGCCACATCCCAGAGTCCGCTACGTTCACACTCCACCTTCCATCTCCGATGAGGAGATAATATCAGTGGTAGGAGGTGAAAATTCAGTAGACCTGGTCACTGTGGCCCAGGCTGTTCATTGGTTTGATCTTCCCAACTTCTATTCGCTTGTTGCTCGCCTTCTGAGAAAGCCAGGAGGGGTCCTAGCCATTTGGGGCTACAATGACTGCACTGTTAACCCAGAGTTCGATTTAGTCTTTAAGCGTTTCCATGACACTACACTTGATTTCTGGGATCCAAGGATTCAGCACATATTCGATGGTTATTCTACACTGTCCTTTCCTTTCGAGAGTGTGGGCCTAGGGTCAGAGGGGAAGCCATTGATGCTAGACATGCCCATAGAGACCTCGTTTGATGGATTTATAGGGATGGTTCGGTCATGGTCGATGGTGGCTACAACCAAGGAACGCGGCGTTGATTTGTTATCTGAGGAAGTGGTTAAAGAACTTGAGATTGCTTGGGGTGGGTCTGAGTTGATCCAAACAGTCATTTATAAGGCTTTCATGCTTGCAGGAAAAGTTAAGATGTAAGTTCAGTTGTGTATTATATCTATGTATGATGATCTCATTATCATTGTGTGTTTGCAATCTTGGATGCTTGCATCTCTTCTTGCTTTTGCACATGAGCCAAATCACCTGGAATTCTGTAGCTTTGGGTTTGGATATTTTTTTGTATAGGGTTTGGAGTTTTTGGTAAGGCCCCCATTTTGTCGTGCCAGGCCGGCCAAAAATCGTATCGAGCCGCGGGCAGCACAACCCATTTTATAGTTTTAGTGGCCCAGGTGGCTTAGGTCTCCTCTACAATAAGCGGCAAATGCACCACTTGGTCCTAGGTCATCCCTACCAAATGTACCAGAATTCTGGTGGTAGTAGGATTTGATCCAAGTTTCTGCAAGAGTCAGACATTGGGAAGTGAAGAACCATATGTGAACAGAAAAATACCAATTCACCATTATAGTAATGAATATATATATTTTTTTTGTTTGGGTAAAACCTGATTTATAATAAAGTCAGTACTTTGGGTCCCAGTTAGTTGGCAGGAATAGGGGTTTGAAATATTCCAATTTCAACTGTTTAGTTGGGTGGAACGGGAATCCTATTCCTATCCTAGCTAGAATGACATTCCTCTATTTGAGGGAATAGTTAATCCCTGCCTCATTTGGGAAAGAAATCTCATTCATACTTATTTCAATTTCTATTCCCATTTCTGTATGGACCAATCAGACTCTGGGTTGTTGTGAGGTGTTCCTTAACTTCAACCTAAATTTTCTTATTAACAACTTAACCTGTTCATGGACCAGGCCGGGCTTTTCCCAAATTTTCTGAAGTTTTGATTAGATCTAAAATATTACTGAAGTTTTGTTTAAGACCAGTGGTGTGGTGGACTTGGACTGTTTGGGTGGAGGAGGTGGAAGGGTAAGAAGTGTGTATGACCAAGTGAGAATAGGGAAGTTTGGAGGTTGAAAAAAGAAAGTGTGAAGAGGGATTCAAAAGAGAGAGAAAAGGCCAAAAAAGGGAAAAGTTGGGTTAGGGTTTTGGATTAATAATACAAATATTTAATATATATAATATATACAAATATTTATATATTTTTATTATATAAAATAAAGTCAGCCTGGGCTCGGGGCGAGCTTTTATGATAAATCCTGAGCCCAGCCCAAAAGAAGTGGGCTTAGTGTTTTGGGCCCGACTTCAGGCCCGCAGTCCTAAAGAGTATGTCCAAGCTCAGGCTGGGAACAGGCCGGGCCGTCGGACTACCCAGCCCATGAACAGGGCTATTGACAACCCCCACTAATAGACGAAATTAGGTAAGTTTGGTCGTAAGAGGGAGAAGCGAATGATCATGCCCAACGGAAAATATTTGACTGTCAATAGGGCTCTTTCCATATATCACGCAGGGAAAAACCTGTTAACAGTCCAGGCTGTCGAACATGGACAGCCAAAGTTTCCTTGTGCCCAACATTACACAGAATCTTTTTCAGAATATAATATGTAGTAGTTAACCCGAGGCCCAAGCTATTGTGGTTGTTTTTCAAGAGGCGGAGAAGATTCCCAGTAGGCCACTACAGCTTTCAACTGGATAGTTGAATTGTTAATCTTAATCACATGCATGGTTGTGATGTAATTAGCCTATAATCTATAATTAAAACTGTAATCGTGCATATGCACTTGGATTATTAGAATATTTTTTTTCTCATGGTTTAAGATTATCTGTATTATTAGCTTATTACTGGATCTGTGAAGTATGATGTGAATATCTAAGAGGGTGTTTAACAATATGGTTGATTTTGCTTTTTAAAACAAAAACAACTGCCACATCAGCAAAGTTGTATTGCTTTTGATGATGAGGTAGTTGTTTATTTTCTGAAAATACATCCTTAGTTTCTGCTTCTTCTAAAAATACATCCCCCACCCACAAAAACTCTGCATCTTTGTATTTACAGTTTGTTAACTAATCAAGCTTGGATTCTTGCTTCTGTTCTCGTATGAATCAACTTGCTTAAGTTTCTACCAAACAAACACATAAAATATGTCTTCAGCTCGACTAGATAAATCTGGAGGTAAATGGGCAGTTGGCCACACCCCATTTATTGACATACACCATTGTTGAATAAATGGATGTGCTTGTTTTAATCATTTTCATAACTAGCAAGTAAACTCATATGCAGTGCGTTGAATAAAAAAGGGTTGGTACTTAACCACACTCAATCCATCTACTTTATACACTTGCTTTATTAGAGCTAGAGAGCCATAAGGAGATTTAAGAGAGAGAAGTAAAGCTTAAGAGGATGGGTTTCAACAGTTGCAACTACATCTAGTGTTCGATGTTTCGGATGGGTTTCATGCCGGTTGTGATGTCAATAAGGAATGTTCTTGTTTTGTAAGGTGCCAATCAGCTGATTGATAAAGTCTTCTACTAGTTGTAGCAGAGACTTGGGATCAAATCCCACCTGCACCTAAGTTAGAGGGGTTATGGATTGGGGGATGGGCTATACCCCATTGTATAACCCTTCACAAGATATCCAACTTTTCCTTCAAACCAAACAAATAATGATGAGTTTAATTAACTTGCGGTGCAAGTAAAGGTTTTTAGATGCATTGAACATATGCATCATCCCACAGAGCAGCTAGGCATCATACCACCCTATTTCAATCCATCAACCCTTTCTACTAGACAATCTTGTTTTTATTAGGAATTACATCAATCTTGTTTCTGCATGCAGATAACCATAGAAATCCAAGAAGATTGACTCTTGACTTCTATCTATTCCATCACCCTGGAGGCCTAACCGAACAAAAGTTGCATCTATCTCAGGCATCATTTTCAACCTTCCAATGCAACCCAATACATCATAGCAGACGTCATTTCTCCCTCAAGTTGCAATCTGCAAGCAGAAGTCATGAACCTTCTCAGCAAAGGAGTAGATTCCTTTTGAGTTTTGAGTGAATAAATAACTCCACATAGCTCTTCTCCATCAAAACCCATTTAGCCATTTCCCATTTCTGTGGGCGTGGGGATCGAGATGGCTGGTTTGTTCGACAAGCATGCAGATGTGTATGCAGATGCAAGGCCCAGGTATCCCAACGATTGGTATTCAATGCTTGTGGCTCTCACTTCTTCCAGGACCTTGGCATGGGATGTTGTTGGAGAAGATGGGGTCACTGTAACTTTGGAGGAGAAGCTCTGAGGCATGTTTGAAGACATTGTCTTTAGAACGTTATTTGTCCCCACTCACTTTTACTGAGTTTGCTGTTGGGTTACAGGCAAATTCGTTCCCAGGATACAATAGAGCCTTGGGCGAGAATCTGCAACCAACAAAGTTGAAGAGTCTCCAGAGAAACCTTCTGTGAGACTGTAGCAAACCGGACTGAGAGAAAGAGAGAGAGAGTGAATTTCGAAATTGTGTGTTTTGGAGTCTGATTCATGCTCCTTAAATAATTTGTGAAGAGGTATGAAGAAAAGGTAGGTACTGGTTTAAAGAAGGCACATTGAACAATCACAATTTCAAACATTGTGACTGTTTAAAAAGTAGTTAACAATTGGTGACTGTTAACTTTGAATTGTGCCTCTTGATCACACCCGATCGAATCGTGACCGTTGATTTCATCAACGGTGATCAACGCACCAAAACCAGAGCCGTCCATCGCAAGCCACACAAGTGCGCGCAAAGTGCGCCTTTAAAGCGCCTCATTGCGCCGCACACACGCGTGCGCGCGTTGCGCGGTATCGAATCCTCATACTCTCCTCTACTAATTCTAAGGAGTGTAAATCAGCTCCTATTGAAAAACTGAAAACAAAACTTATAATTTTCCAATGTAGGACAAGTTCAAAACTGGGTTTTTTGTAAAAGAAAAACTGATTTTTCAACCAAGTGTGCAGGTGCAATTTCTCATGTAATTGACCAATCAAACCCATTGGATTTAATCTCTTATGAGATTAAAATCCAACAATCCCCCACATTGATTGATCAATTACATAGTTCTCTCTCAATCCAAACTACTATGACACAGTTATGCATACAAAAGGTGTTTATCAACTTAAACCTCTTGTTAGTATAGTTATCTCAGAGCCTTGTCAAAGTTATTGATGGTAAGACCTTAAACCAACTACTCTCAAGACAGACCGGAAACACCTATACATATAAAAATGTTCAGTCTCTGCAAGAGTTTCAAGTTTTGCTCAGCACTGTTATGGCCATGTGCTTCTTTCCTAGTTTCATGAACAATTCCGAGAGCAAACCCAAACTCTCATGAGAAGCGGCACCACTTCTATGTTCACATAGGAAAAGTTCCACTATGTGCTCCGTTATTTAGCACATTTCAGAACTTCATTAAGAGTTTATCTCAACCTCTCATCATAACGGACGGCACTGTTTATGTTGTGATGGGAAAATTCTCAATGTCAGTGCTAACAGTCACATTGCTATAACTTGTTGTTATCCATTAAACCCAATACTGATGGTTTTCCAGTTCAGGTTGGGTTACCATTACAGGTGACTAAGTAAAGAGTTTTAAACTCATCTCTTTGGTTGTCATTCTTACCAATTCTCTAGCCAAGCCTTTTGTAAGAGGATCAGCCAAGTTTTTACTTGACCTCACATAGGTTATAGTGATGACTCCATCTTGAATCAGTTGTTTAATAAATTCATGTCTCAGACTTATATGTTTGGACTTACCATTGTAGGTACCACTGTAGGCCCTTGATAGAGTTGCCTCACTATCACAATAAATGGAAATTGAAGGCATAGGACTAGGCCAACGTTTTATATCCAATAATAAATTCCTAATCCATTCAGCCTCTTTTCCAGCAGCCGCTAAG